GTTTATGTATATGTTCTTTGCGCTGCAGAACGGATAGGTTAGTCAGCCGGATCGGTTCGCCAGGCGGAAAGCTTAGATAGCAAGAGTACGCGAATCAAAAACATTCCTCTATTATTCAAGTCTTATAGGTGGGCGTGTGAAATATGGCTAATAGGTGCATAGAATTCCTCGCCTAGTGGCGCAGGAAGTAAAAAGAGTTTTTATGACCACTAAAGTGACCCGTTAAAATTTGACTGACTACTGACAATAATGACTGCTTACCATTTTTAATTTGTGCTATGATTACTCCAAACCAGTTCAGAAACGAATAGGTTTAGGATCATAGAATCACAGAATGACAAGTGGCTATATAACCAGCAAAACTATAATAAAACTATTCCATATTACAACAAGAATACATTTAAAACACTGCCTACTTTGGTTAATGAACATCTCAAACTTATCCTGATAAGAATTCTGTGTATCTGGCGAATAAAACCACATATGTAGAATTTACTCTGTACTCACATCGATGACCCTTTTTAAAGTACTTTGGACTCATAACAGTGTCTTCTTCTCTTTGTATCATCGGTGAAATATTTTCTAATCGTGCAGTGAATCGAACATTCTAAATTAACTCTTGAGAGCGAACGAACTTAGTCAGGAACATCAAACTTCAATCCTCTAAAAAGAGTGTTGATAGCATCAATTCTAGATATTTTCATATTCCGTTTTTTTATCCAAAGCTCTGATCGTTTCGGAAAAGTTCATCCAACTCATCTATCAGGATTGTTATGAGAGGGTTGGTAGACCTTTTGATAATCTTCCTTCTACGGTACATTTTGCGTCATAATCAAAACTAAATGGCCATAGACTTGAAAGAGTTGAAAGTTTTAAAAGACCTTGGTGTAGTCTTTGATAGTAAACTGTGCTTAAAAGATCATATTTCTAGAATAGAAGCATCAGCTTCCAGGAGTCTGCGATACCTAGTTAGGAATTGGTGAGGATTTGCTAACGTTGACAGCTTGAAAATGTTGTATTCCACATTTATTAGAAGCAAACTCGAATACGCAGCACTCGATAAGTCAAGTTGACTCGGTACAGCACAAAGCTCTGAAATACTTAAAATGCAACGGGTTTTATCCTCAAAAAGGTATCGACAATAATGTTTTATTAGATTTATTCCATACCGATTCTTTGCTATTAAGACGTGATCTTTCTGCTCTGACTTTTCTGCATAAGTTAGTAAATGCAAAAATGGATTGTCCTGCATGGCTTAGACTAAATAATTTTAATACATCTAGGTTAGGAAGTCACCATCACATCACATTTAACTGTAGTTTAGATCGCACGAATATGTCGCAAAAATCACCCATTAATAGAAAGTGTAAGATTTGTAACACTGTATGTGATAAATGTGACTTGTTCTATGATAATTACAAATTAATATTAGAATGCTAAACAGGAAAATATCGTGCTAATCGTGCTAAGTGTCCAAACATGTTCAACGCCCAGCATATGTTTGTTTTTCAAGCATTTGCTTTTTAAGAATTTCCTGTTGGGAATAAATGTATCACAGTGGACCTCCGGTAATCCGACAAACATTATGTAGGGCAGTGTTGGACTATCGAATTTGTCGGATTATAGAGAACTGCCTAAGACCCCCTATCGTCCGGAATTTTTTATAAAACAGTACCTTGTAATCCGACAAATTACATATTCAATGGTAAGATTATATATGTTATGTCTATGTATGTACTTTGAAGTACAAATCGTACGTAGTTTATGTATGTCGAATTTAGTAAATTAAATAACAATATAGAGCTTACGTTTTATTATAAAATTAAGCATAAATGCACATACATATGTACCAAAATAATCAAGAATTATTAATCAAAATCATTAATGAATTTCTCAAATTATGAAGCTTGGAAATATCCATCAATTATTTTTTTGTTTCAGGTTGTTATAATGCGAGATCAGAGCTTTGTCCCTCAGTCTTCTCAAAAGTAAAAGTTCGTTGTAGGATGTACCATTCTCTTCAGCCCATTGTAAACCTAGCTCAAAGGCGTTAATTGCGTCTTGTGCTGTGACTTGTAGAGCAGTTGCAATCACGTCGTCGTTATTTTCCTGATTGTTTGTTGTATAATTAGAAACCTCTTTTATAACCTCTTCGTCAGACATTTCATGAAAAACGTTTTCATCTTTATCCATTCCACGGCACCAGATTTCCAAATCTTCCGGACTTATCTGTGTTTCAGTAGCGACTTGTTCTATAACTTCCGAACTAACCCTGAAATGTGGAACGTTGCTAGGAGTGGTAACTATGGATGGCCATAACTTTTTCCAAGACGATTTAATAGTTGATGACGGTAACGCATTCCACGACTGACAAAGAGCAAAAACCAAGTCTTTCATATTAAATTCTTTTAAAGTTTTTTCTATTGGTTGGTCTTTTGATTCAGCTCTCAGAAGTAGGTATTTCTTATAGTCTTGCTTGACAAACTGAATGATATTCTGGTCCATTGCAGTGCAATTTGGCGGAAGAAACATCGCAGTGATGCATTTATCCTTAGTTGTTAGTTCTTCTTCAAACGGATGACCGGGAGCGTTATCAAGAAGCAACAACGCTTTTTGAGGAAAATTATGATCTTTTAACCATGTTCTAACTTCAGGTACGAAGCATTCATCAAACCACTTTTTGAAAAGGTCTATTGTCATCCATGCACTTTTTTGTCCGTAATAGTGTACAGGTAAATCAATGTTTTTGAATGCCGGTGGTTTATTAGATTTCCCAATGACCATCACCTTAAGCGCGTGTGTGCCCGCAGCGTTAGCTCATGGTAGTATGGTTACATGCTCTTTACTTACTTTTCGTCCAGGTACGGATTTTTCGTTACAAGAAACGAAAGTTTTGTGAGGCATCACACGCCAAAAATCCCTGATTCGTCTGCATTGTACATCTGTGACGGGTTAAGATTTAAATCGTTCACCTTTTGCAAAAATCTTAATTTAAAGGGCTCTATGCAGGTGTAATAGTCATTAAACGTATGCCATGACGACTTTTAAAACGTTCTAGCCATCCTTTGCTGGCCACAAAATCATCTTTCTTTGTTATTTCCTTATAAAAAACTTAGCATTCATGGCCAACATGGGTCCTGAAATTGGTGCATGCCTATGTCTTTCCTGAAGAAACCACATGAACACAGCTTCTTCCACTTCTGTATGTTCAGCTTTCTTGAGTGTCTGTCGCCTATTCTTGTCGTTTTCTGTAAGAGATTGAACATTTCTTGGGTTAGTCCAAGTATTTCGAGATTTTTATGAAGCTCTTTAGGTATGACTCCCGTTGCAGTTAAAACAGGCACAATTTTGACCCTGTCTGATTTCCACATTTTCTTCACTTCGTCTGCTAATTCTGTATATTTTCGTTATTTATCTGTGTTGGTAACGAGTACGTTGTGGGTGTTAGGTATTGCAACGTCTATGATATAGGTTTCTGTTGCTTGTTAGTTCCTTACCACTATATCAGGCTTATTGCATAGGATACTCCTATCTGTTGTAATAGACCTGTCGTAATAAATGGTATGTTGGGTTGTCTGTATAATTTTTGCGTTCCAGACCAAGTTTATAACATATCTCCCTATGGATCAAATTAGCTACTTGATTGTGACGATGTAAATATTAATTTTAAATCATTGCGCTACATACTGCTGTAATATGTTGGATGGTCTCAGGTTTCTCTCTGCACTTCCTGCATATATCGTCGCTCACTGTAGGGTCCTTGATAATATGTTTGAGATAGTTCTTAATGCTCACTACCTGATCCTAAATAGCTATCATAAAGCCCTCAGTTTCCGGAAACAGTTCCCCACACTTCAACCATGTGTTCGGAGCTTGTTTATCGACATGAAGTTGGTCGAAGTCATGTGGGTGTCTTCCGCGAAGGGCTCTAGTTTACCATATTATTATTATTATTACTATTTTTAAAACTGAACTGGGTCGCCAGGTAACTCGTACCGTGCAAAACTGGCAGTCGATAAGCGGCTCAATAGATAGGACCGATCTGAGTAGCACTTTGTGATGGTATTAGGCGCACCGAGTGTACTGTTTCGCCAGCGTACTGGTTACCAAGCCATTAGCTCAGAGCTATTGAAGCTACAAGATCAGCTGAACAGCAAAACAAATTTTCTTAAGATATATAACAATACCGTAGTTGGTAACAAAGCAAAGAAGAAGGCTGCCGTGCAGTTTAGCGTCCCCCATGGTCGCCGTCTCCGTGTTGGTCGTCTGGCGAGCTTCTTCTCGTCCGCATATCCTGGGGCACGGTTCGTCTGCCAGCCGGGGATGGTGTAATAAGCACGTTGCACGATGCACTCTCAGTTCTGCTGCTCGCCGCGGATATTGTGGACGCCGTCGCCCCAGGCCGAACAACAACTCCAGCTCGATCGCGTACACCAAGAAACAAATCACCACTTGCTGCTTCTCGTGTCTAGGGATACTTACATCTTATATTAAACGTTAGTGATGTGATGCTTATATGATATTCATGACATCTACCCTTCTGTCTATTCAAAGTGAATCAGCACTTTTCACACATGTCCATAACACATCCCACTATTGCCATGTTTACACCGTGGGTAACTAACCGTAGCACCATGCTATTTTGGCCATTTAAACTGAAGCTTCAACGCGACACCAATGGCCTTGTAAACGCTCTAAGTCAAGATACCCGCCGATCCAACAATGGACGTAGCCTTACACCCAAGTGTTATCTGTATCGGAGATCCTTTACAGTTACCAGATACTAACTCCAGCGAGTAGCTGAATGTACGAGTATATAGAGATGAGAAGGTCATACACATTACGATAAATAACATTATCAGCAGCTAGATGTTCTGTTGTTCTATGTCATACGTATCGACAACGTTGACCTTCTAGATGGTGCGATACATGTAAGTACCTGTTAAAATGTTAATCTACTATCATATATAATTGAATAATTAGAAATAAATTGTTTCCAGACTGGTTCAGACAGTCGTCGAACCTTTACAATACCAAATCCAAAAACATCATACGATGTAATTGAAGAATGGGTACCAGCGATAGGCAATCAGAAACTGAACAACTTGGTGATAGAAGATTAGCTTTGTGGAAGACTTTTCTAAAGATGAGAATTATTTAAAGGAAGAGAGACCACACGCATCCTTCCAATTGCGCCCTTGAATGTACTTATTTGTAGGTATTTCATTTATTACTTATTCTTTTAACATTACAAAATACAATTCAGTTAAGCAACTGGTTATTCACTTGTCTGGTGCTCTAGAATACAAGTTATATACCCAACGTGTTCGCCATATATAATTGCATTCACTTCACAAGGGATGGCGCCACTAACACAGGTCAATTTTACTACATTGGGTTTCGTTCTCTTGAGCCCAATTCTTGAAAGCAAGGAAGTAAGATAACTAGTAAAAGGTGTTATATTTTGATGTTAATTGATTACGTCACAAATTATTTCGTCATTTTATGGACGGCCAGCAAGATTTTTCCTTTGTTGATATACACTTCTATAGGTTGACGAACTTCCTCCATTTCGTCATGTAACTTCCAGGAGGCTGCTGGAATCCGTCATTCCTATTGTGATATTGAGGAGGTGCCTTCCGAGGCTCGATACAGTCCTTTTTTCCATATAACTATATCTCAGATATTACATACGTCATAATCATTTTTTCAGAGTTCTGGGTATTAATTCTGGAAATGAGGAAGTAAAATAACTGAGAGAAGGCGGGAGTAGTTTTCTTACTTTTCGGGGAACGTATTCCTGAACGATGATGGCAGAGTGTTCGCTAGGAGAAAAAGTACGTCTAGCAATCTTAAAGTCGACAGTAGCTTCGTAATGGAACGTTTAATTACATAAATAACCCAGGAACATATTATTTTACTGAAAACTGAAAACGGACCTGTTTGACAACAGCTGTCAGAATTTGGGATCACTCTCCAGAGAGAACAGCCACGCCTACTTTTTGTTAGGCGAATATCACACGATCTGTATTTTCTGTGATCCGTATCATCAGTAATTACTGATTATTGCAAGCTACATGCTCAATAAATATCGCATTCTATGACAAATACTGATGGATCACAGTAAATGTTGATCGGCCGACATACAAACCACTCGTTTTCAATAATAGGAGTCCTGGAGGCATCCCTGTGTTCCACCTGTTCCAAAACAGAGAACTTAGGGCAGTCAGTAATGTAATGAGTAATTGAATATCAATAGGAAGCTTCTATAATATAACAACACCTGATGGAAGTGTGGAATGATCCACAGTTTCACAGATGACAGCAAATTGCATACGGAATTTAACGAGAAAAACCAATGGGGTGTTATCGTCATAATCAAAGTTACCTTTTTAATAGCTTAAATATATTGATTATGTCCATTTTCAAAGTTCATTATAATATTTTAAATTCATACATCGAAGGGAAATTGATTCCTATCCTAGGTATTGTAGGATTTGTCTTTCATTTATAATATCGGTAGAATGCGGCCATACCCAGTCAAACGTCGGATTATCTTTGTAAGACTTGACGGAAGCCTAACCCCCATGGCAGAAGTGGGTTCAAATTCGAAAAAAAAGGGGAAGAACTTTTTGCGTCACGCTAGATTGTTATTACAATATTGATGTATTCAATTTTCAGAAACGCAGGAAGCGACCCCCTCTCTAACACAAGATTGCACTGAAAGTTTCTTTTAGGTCTGTAAGAACCATTCACCAACCTTCAACCAACGAAATGTTTCTGGGTGTATTTAACAGGGATCCAAAATTTCAACGTTTTTCAGTCAGTTTGGATCACCAAAGATTTTGTGAAGCTACATCCGACCTTATCAAGGATTTTATCTGATTTATCACTACACTAAATTTACTCGTTGTAATTATGTGTTCTTTGCAAGCCTCTTTCAGAGAATTTTATGCATAGGCAACATTAGCACCTGCCTCCACTTTCGCAAAAGATTAGATAAAATCTAAAGTTATCTATGTCACAAACAACTGGTATAAGCAGTAGCTATCTAGATATAATACCTTTACACTTTTGTTGAGAAAGGGTATATGTTCTGTGATCAAAATAGGACTCTTGGACAGACCTTGATTTTTGAAATCAGAATCAAAAACTCTTTTCACTGGTGCGAATATCCAATATGGCGTCCATTAGTTAAAATAAAGTGGATGATTGAGGACAACAGACGAAACATCATGTTGAAATTCTAAACTTGCTATCTTGAAGAATAAAAATAAAATCAGGAAAAAATAAAATTTTAGGAGAATTCAGTTTTCCGTAAGGTAAGTATATGAAAAATCGAAGGACAACACTTTGATAACACGTCATTTTTTCCGCAAAAACGGTGATATAATAATTATGATGCTGCTGGTATTTGTTATCGCCAAACTCATTACTGTCATTGAATGGTTTGTTCATTTGTTTCTTCCGGCGTCGCTGGTTTCATTGTTGACCGTTATCTCAAATTATTTTGTCACAACAGTGACGCCAGTGACGCAGAGACGCTGACTCGTGATTTGAAGTACATTCCGATTTTAACTCCAATTTGGCTTCATTGTTGGTAAAAACATGCAGCGGCTTCCCGTTTTTGATTTTTCAGAACAATTCATTCACATATTCCAGAAAAATTGTTTGGAATTTCCTTATTACCCATGCCTTTTTGTGAAATGCTTGATTAATATCAGACTCAGAAAACATTGGAATATGCATTGAAGCAAAATAGCCATTTCCGAAGGAAAGTAACGAACTACTCATGTACTGTTTTAACGTGAGCAACTCGAAATTGTAATAAATTTTGTTCACCAAGATAAGTTTTTACCATGTGGTATATATACCATAAGCTACTGGATGCACTGATTAACAAAAATAAAACAAGACCGCTTCGCTTTGTGCAGACATGTATAGCCTGCTGAGACAGATTTTTAAATATCAGGAATATGGATGGTTATGTGTATTGGTTCAGTCAAATTAGGATCAATCGCTTATAAAATAATCTCACACCACAACGTCTTCTTGCACGAAATCGTAATGGTTTGTCAGATAGATTCTATTGTCTTTGAAAGATAGGTCAGGATCTTTCTGGTCATGCTCTACATCCATTCTATAATACTAGATCTATAACTTAATATTGCTTAGAATTTTTAGAGTAGTTACTGCTGAAGTTAAATGAATCATGACCATGCCAATAAACATTGAAGCTCCACCTAGTAACCACACATCAATAGTTACATCGTGACACCATTTTTTCAGATACATGGTGAAAGGATTTAAGATAAAACATAAGAGTTTACGGTGAAAACACGTTCTACATTTTTTTGAAGAGTGTAGAGGACCAATTTTAACTTTTCGAAGAAAGGTCTTCCTGTAAAATATTCAATTTTTTTCTGAAGAGTAGACAAACATTTTATTTACAAGTGAATGAATATGAATGAATAAAATGATCCCTTGCCGCAACCCGTTTCCAGTCGTATTCCGAATTCTTCTCTTACATCTCAAAGCACAAATAAGTTGTCACGGCTCGTTCATTTTTTTCTTTAAATATATTTTTATAACAATTATTTTGAAAAGCGCTTTTTTATATCATCTTTATTGTTCATATTATACCAAAAAATTGATGTAGGTATGTTTGCATAAAAGCAGATGGAGGTACCGTAAACCTTTTGCACGTTCGTTGTTTTTACCTCAATATTTATTAAAATAATCAGCCTGTTATATCCTTAACCTGATGATGAGATTTCCACGCCATCGTCGATTTTCAGTAACTACGTGTAATACTATCACTGTACCAAAACTGGACGAAACTCGTGTTGGTATTTCCCAGCGAGAACATGTAACACGTTATGGTTGTTACTATAATCCAGTTCCTTTAAAATATTACAGAAATTGTACGACTGGAATGTCAATTAATAATAATTAAAAGCTGGTGTACGCTACCGCAGGGAATGTAATGCCCTGAATAAATTGTGTAGTAGTCTCAGTATGCTGATTAATTATTAACAATGATTGTTATAGATAGAACGCATTTGGTGAAACCACGTTAAAGCTGCATAATCAGTAAGATATACAGATATATTGATGGACTCATTTTCCTTGTGGTAGATGAAATACGATGGGGGTTTGCTTAGCCCAAGTGGGAAAGCAGTTACCAAAAAAGAAAAGGACGAAAGAAGGGAGAAGCGAAACACGATGTGCATTTATAATAGTAGTTTAGATTACAGTCAACTAAGAAACTCTCCTGTTACTGTGGTCAACGGCCATCATTTCGGTGGAGAAAGTCGAGTGTAAATTCCCGCAGTACAACAATGAAAGAGGTCTTAGTGCTCAGCAGCAGCGGTGACATATTATTTTCAATCAAAATAATTATACTCTTCCGACATGATCTGGTGTATAGTAACCAAATAAGTTCGTGCGGTTGCTGTATATCGCACATTGCCAAGGATGTTGTTGATCGATAGCGATTGTTTGTTACCTGTTGCCACTTTAGTATGAAACCTTCTTGTCTCACACACATAGAAAGTTGCTGAAAATTGTTACATACCTAGCTTTAATAATTGAAAATGGCAACGAATAGAACAGTAATTCGGAGTTGTTTACTGTATGAATACAAACTTGGTACAAAAGCTGCAGCGGCAGCGCAAAAAATATGTACCGTATTCAGTGATGATGCCGTTAGCCATCGAACAGCACACAAGTGGTTCAAAAAATTTTCTTCGGGAGATCTCGGTTTGAGCAATGAACCGCGCTCAGGGAGAGCAAAAATCATTAACAACAAGGATCTTCGACAGGTTGTGGACACAAATTCCAGGACAACGTGCCAGGAACTTGCAGAAATGTTCAGAGTGAGTCCTGAAACTATTCGTTTGCATCTTCATCAGCTAGGAAATACGTGACAGTTAAGCAAATGGGTCCCACATGCCCCAACGCTAATGAACTATCTCTTAACCGGTTATTAACCTGCGACGAAAAATAGATCTTGCATTCGAATTGTAGGCGTTCGTATTATTGGTTGTTGCCTACTGATTCGGTACCACAAACGCCGAAGGTTTCCTTGCACCCAAACAAGGTTATGTTGTGTGTTTGGTGAACAGCAACTGGAATTGTCCATTATGGAAAGGGGTCGAACCATCATTGCTAACTTGTATTGCCAGCAGCTTTAACGAGTACAAGCAGCACTCATCCAGAAACAGCCTTCTTTGATCAATCGGAAGAAAGTGATATTCTTGCAGAATAACGCCAAACCTCATACCGCAAAATTGACCACAGAAAACATTTCTGAACTCGGTTAAGAAACGTTACCGCACCCGCCATATTCTCCCGACATTTCGCCCAGTGATTATCACCTTTTATTGTCCCTTGACAACTGTATGAGGCACCGACAGTTCACAACTCGAGATGGTGTGATAAATGCAGTCCGCCAAATTTTTTACTCCAAATCCAGGGAGTTCTACAATACCGGCACTGGTTCCACGTTGGCAAAAGGTCATTGAATGTGATGGTAATTATTTCGACGAATAAATAGTGTCTTATTGTTTCTCAATAAAAATTTATAGTTTTCTTTTAAAAACCGCACGAACTTATTTGCTTAGCTGATATTTACAACAAACATAAAAATATTTACATTTGCCATGCATTTTTTGCTGCTGAAATACTCTCAATTCATTCCATTTTCAATGTAACCACTGCTGAAACGCCGCAATCAAACCTAACACTCCTGATGACTCCTCATACACGGCGAGCTTTTGTATTTGTACCTGGAAAAGTTAGTTATAAAAATTGTAGGCAGCTATACGCTCTTTACTTCTAAGATATGCTGCTCTTCACAAGGTGAGTCATAATTACATGTCAACACGTACATTTTTTAAATGGATTTTTTTAGATTGAGCGAAGGATAAGAAAACATTCATGCAAAATGGTTTAGTTTTACTGATGAACAATGTTTCTGGAATCTGTCATTTATGTTGTGCTCTCGTTTTTTTTCCATGACTAAGACACCGAAATTCTTGTGATTGAGTGAAGGTTGTAATTGTCTCGTATTTTAGCACTGCCCGCATTGAAATGCAATGTATTGATTATATCGCAGCAGCGTAGGCTACCTAGCAAATGTAAATATTTTTCCATTAATTGTTATTTTTTTTTTTGACGGCGTCAACTTCTATGGTTATTAGCCGTATTCAATAATATATAAATCTAAAGTATAAAATATATAATCTCTTACATGTCTAAGTGGTAAGTGTCGCGTTTTTAAAAAACTAAGTATGCAAATTCCAGATATTACTCGAAAAGGATATACCATTGTCATTTACTTTCAGATTCTATTAGCAATAAAAGATAATCTCTGGGAAATGCTACACGACTAAATTTGTCAGGCATATATTCATTAATATTAATTTTTTTTTGTGGTCATTATCTGCATTTCACGATCTTGTTTGCGTTCACGTAAGTATTTCGATTTATCCAAATTCTATTGCTACATATTTCTTTTAGTTCAAGATGACAATACTAAGCTAAGGTAGGTATGATGCAAAATCATCGTTACATAACATTCATTTAATCTCAGATGAGAATAAGATACACAAAAATTAAAATGGTTCATTTCCAAAAAGTTCATTAGGTCAGATCTTCCAATAGAAACCAGATAATTTTAAGAATGATATGACGTTTTTCAGTTTTTCTGGTTGTGTGAGACTCTCTGTCAGGTTATCAAATGGTCCATAGATCACTCGATATTGGAACAATATCGGACATTTGCAGAGATAATGTGGCGTACAGTGAGTGAAGAGTTACATCCAGTGCACAAGGGCGGATCTGTTCTGAGCAAAAGATGTGCATGTGTAAGACGTGTGTGGCCAAAGCGTAAGCGACGTATACGCACCCATTCCTCTCTTGGCAGTCTGATAGGATGTGGCCATGATCCTACACTAGGTTTTATGTGTCTTAAGTGGGTATCAGTGTTACCCCATGTAATGTGCCAGTGTCGCTGTATACGGTTTATGAGGTAGTTTTTATGATCAGACATTTTTATTTCTGGGATGTCGATGTTTTGTTGCGCTACTGCTGCTTTCGGTGCCATATCAGCAGCTTCATTCCCCTGTATACCAACGTGTCCTGGCAACCACATAAATTTTACGTTTACCCCTTTATTTAAGAGATGTTTGACAGTTTCAAGACATATCACAGTTAAGGAATCTCGAGATGCATAGTTCATTAGGCCTTGAATTTATTGTTATTACTTTCACCATTGCAAATTCATTTTGAAGCTTTTCCATAAATAAAATATCATCCGCTGCTTCTTGTTGGACCAACATGCTCCTTTCTATTATTGATTCTCACAAACTACACTAGAACATATCGAAATATTATCATTTTACGATTGCAAAGAATATCTGCGGCCACTGGCATTATACTCGTACGTGGCAACGCTGGCTGCTGCTGAACACTAAAACCTCTTTCATCTTGTACTAGGGGAATTCACATGCATGCGATTGTTACCGGTGAAATTGCAGCCGATTTTGACACTGACAGAAGAGTTTCATAGTTGATTGTTATCTAAGCTGTGTTTATATTATTCGTTTTAGTAGCATGGCCACAGTTAGCTAATTCACATATATAGGGTAATTCCGGAAAACTTGGCAATATTTTTAGGGTAGAAACAGACATGAAACCAAAGTTTTAATAAGCATAAGTCCCCTTACCGAAATAGTGTTGTAGATTTCTGCGCCAGGCTGACGAGACTGAATAAGGACAAGGGATGGCCACTGTTCAAATATTAATATGGATTAATACAAATATACTGCATACAATTTTCAATCAAAATTATCATTTTAAGTAAGTCATTTCACCGTTGTTCGCCGTTCCCATGTTTCAGATGTAACCTGAGGATTCTTCTTTTTTTTTCGTAGATATCAATCTACTTTCTTTAACGATAAAGTCTTGCGATGTAATCGATAAGTTCCAGGCGCGTTATCAAGCGTGTACAAAATCAGATCGACAAGCTGATATAAATGGAGGTTACTTCCATGAACGTGGCAACAGAAGATTAATCTGCATCGTTCATGAAGTATAATAATAATAATAATAAATGGCCTTTATTCGTCACACGATTACAAAATAATTGGTTCAAAAGGAACAGTGTCGAAAAGGTGGAGTGTCAGCTTATGCTGTTTTTCAACCCGACCTGTACTCGAAGAAAATTAGTGGCGTAGGTTGAATGTTCTGTTATTAAAAATTAAGTATAATTGACGATCAATAAAATGACTGCTGACAAGTAGGAGAATCAGAACAGCATTTAATCCGGTCGAAAAGTAGATGGAGTGGAGGTCACTCCTCTACCGGCACTCGATCCTCAAGGAACGTCTATGAATGTGATGCTAAGGTTCTTCAGCCTGTGAGATTTGTTCATATCAAAAGGACTGAATTGTGAGTGCAGCCTCCGTCAGCGTACGCCTCTGACGTTCTCGCGTATCGACCAATTTATTTTGCAGTCAGCAGGAGAACAGAGTCATTTAATCGGACGACGAGAAATAAGAATGTCTAAGTGGGCACTTAGGCAGAAAAGCATTGAAACGGTAGCAAAGTTTGCATATAATATGGCCATTTTCAGCTTCTTGCACCGTCACTTATTACTATTATTAGTAAAATTGACTTATTTTATGGGCAGTGGATAATCTTACATAATTTCGCATTGAAAATTATTTCCGCCCATACGACAGAGAAAAATAGCAATGGGTTGTTAGGAGTCGACATCAATATCTCAAACATGGTGGACATAGTTGCCAAATCGTCCTGACTACTTAAAATGTTACTGTCGCTATCTTGCCAAAAAGACGTCAAAAAGGTATATTTTCCACGCAATCGTAAAGGTTCGTTTCCAGTATAACAAGTTGCAGATATATATGCCTGCAGTTTGTTTAAATTGAAACGCACCTGGAGGGGAGGGTCTTCTTGAATGTCGAGTGGTCAATGTCGCATGCGAGATAGTTAAAATGTGCTTTCTTGAATCTCGCAATCGGCATTTTTCATTCGACCAAAATCTTGATAAACTAAGACCATGTGACAACGAATGACGCATTCGAGATTTTTTGACTGTTCGAAAAAACGGCAGATGACAAAGTAGGAGTATGAGTTACTTGAAAATAATTACTTTTTTCTGCGTTATTGATCACCAAGATCTACCTTAAAATCAAATAACTTAACGAAGGTGACAGTACAACCGATGGCAGGTATCACAAAATTAAAATTCCAGTGTCGCGTGCGAGAGTCCAACACACTCCCCCATTAGTAC